AGCGAAGGGGTCGTAAGGAGAGCGGAAGAAAGTGTCTTAAGAGGGCCTGGAAAAGACGCTCATTATCCGACCGTGAAAGAGACTAAGTGGAACATACACTCGTTGCCGTGGTGCCGAGTAGACGGAAAAAATCGGCCAGTTTCCTCCCTCTCCCTTTTTAACTTGCGGCCTATTGGGCCAAAATGAGGCTCTTAAGTGGTGGACCGATGGTTTGTTTGTGGCTTTTTCCTTATTCCTAGATCCGTCTCAGGGTGGAATTGCACTTGTTGCCGCTGGCTTACTAGAAATTCTGCTTATCTGCGTCTTCGTGAGCATGCGAGTGGAGATGGCCAAATGTGTAAAGTGATGGTGACCGTGCATCTTAAAGCAAGAAGACTGACTACAAGTGGCCATTTAGCCTTGGCTCCGCCGAAGCTAAGAGGTGAGCCCAGAGGAGGAATAGGAGGGAGGAAGGCAGGGAGTATAGTGGCAAATGTGAATCACAGGACTGTATGAAAGTGAAATTCATGCCTAATTAGTCTGATTACTTTTGTAGCAAGTTGAAGTTATTGTCGAGTGTAGCATGATCTTTTCGCAATGTGGCATATGGCACAAAAATGGATTACTACAAGTGCAGTGGACGAGGGTAAATGTTGCCACGATCAAGTGGCACTGCAGCAAATTCTGGCCAACCTGACCAACAAATTAACCATTTCGCGGGTTTCTATGACGTGGAATTGAATGGGCGATCTGAGGTGTCATGAGAAGGGGGAGAAATCAAAGTTCGGGTGTGCAATAACTCCCAACCAGTCAGGTGATCGAGTAAACTTAGTATTTTTATCAACGCCTGCATTACATTAGGCATTGGTATCAAGGTCCAGAAGGACGGGAACAAGCATGAACTCTGTGCATATGTGTGTAAGGTGGGGGTAAGCAAATAAATTGAGAAAAAGAATAACCCACCAAAGAAGTGCAGCTCTGGCAAAAATTAGACTGGCCGCTTTGATATCGGGTAGCCATGGGAGGGACGTGCAAGTATCAAACGATGCGACTAGACTTGATGCTACACGGGCAGACGAAGTGAGATATCGCTTTGCAACCATTGTTGGTAGATGACGGAAAACGAGAAGGGTGGCGGCACAGGAAATCTGTATTTTATCGGTTTTCCCGTCTAAATCGCAGTCGCACAGTCTCATAGGTTTCAGTCTCTAGCACCGGATGTGAAGCTAGGAAGTGGCAACTGCTCCATACGGTTCTCGTTTCAGACTGGGAAAGAATTTTTAGCAGAAACCTGGTCAAATGACTGAATAAAGCAGATTTACTAAAACTAGACCAATTGTACTACAGGTGAGTAGGCTGTTAAACTTTAACAGAAATTT